AATGTTATTTATTTCACATGAGCATTAAAAAATACATTAATGAAAGTACTTCCCATCACTTGTAAAACGCTACGAATTAATTCCAACACCTAATATATATAATATATTCATGATATTCTTGTATTACATATTTTTTATGTATTTCATAATATATTTATAATATATATATTTTATATAATGTATATTTAATGCTAGAATTTTCTGATCAAACATAATATTTAAAGAAAAAAGAAAATGTTATCCACATCATATATCTATATACACAAAATATTCATCATTAAAATAATAATATATTTAAATTGAACAAAAATATTTATATAATATCTTTTATACTTATTACACAGTACGTGCATGATTTATTACACAGCGTTTTTCTTGCGTGATCACTACATATATCTTTTACACATTCTATATTACTAATAATTATTAAGTTTCTTACTTATGTAAAAGAATAAATATCAATGATGTGAGAAATTGTTAACGTATAATTTGTACTTTCATCTTCATTAATTTGATGAAACTTTCATCAGATCTTTTTTCACTAGAGATTCAGATAATAGATTTTACAACGACGTTTAAATTAAGAAAGAAATATAGTTAAATATTAAACTGAAGGTATCTTTCTGTTTTTCTTTAAAAACTTTGAAGTTTAATGACTTTTTTAATCCATAGTTTCTTTTTATTTACCTAAAAAAAAAAAAAATTCAATTTTCAAAATTGATTAAATTGTTATCGATAATTTTGTAAATAAACTTATTTAGTTTTTAAATATAAATAATTATGAAATAAATACATAAATTTATGTGAATAATCATAAAAAATGATAAGATATTCTCGAATAAAATTCTTATTTTTTATTTTCCATATTACAGTAATTTTAAGGATATCTAATATCTATTTTTTAAATATTAGAAATTTAAAATCTTACATGTAGATGTTTGGAGACTTTTCATAAAACCTGGAGTCAATTCACTGAAGCAATTCAAAGTTATAAAGATTTTAATTTGTAATAAATTTATTTAGTACCTATTTTCAAAATATGAAAAATATAACAAAAATTTTACAAATTGTTTTATTATTACGTCTAAGTATCTACGTAAAATTTTAGCACAATTCTCTTATTGTTATTTTAAAAGTTATTTAATTTTTTTCTTTTGATTTTTATATGTAAAATCATAATTTGATGATAAAGTAATAATATTGATGATAAAGTAAAATATTGTAGCTAATTATATGACTTATATTTTTAATGATGACTGATTCATAAATAAAAGGAGATATACGTAGATTGTGTTTTGACCAACTGCTGACATAACGGAAAATTCAACGAAATGTATTGCCATCAAATTTAAAAAGTTATCAATAAATGAAAGTTGATCGAAACATTTTTAAAAATTTGATGAAAAAAATGATTCGATAAAAGAAATTTTTATCATATCATTTTATGATATATTACAAAATAATTTAATATAAAGTTAGCATACGTTTTTTTTTTAAATAAAAATTAAATATCATAGACGTATATAATATAAATATAAAGTAACAATTATTATGTCAAATTCACAGATTTTGAATGACATAAAAGCGCGAGAAATATACGACAATCAACATACTTAGAAAAATATTACGTATACATATTTTATATTTTTCATTATATTTATTTATTATCGAATAGACACAAAAAAATTAATGCAATCAGAAGACAGCAGATTACGCCCCCCCCCGCCCGCCGCACCAGGGCGTAGCGATGCAGTCCGTATGCAAGTTTCACCGTCGGCACGACGACGCCAGGCGTCGCGACGCTGCCGTCATCGCGACGATGTGATCAACAACAGCGGCGACGGTGGTGGCGGCGGCGGCGGCGACGGCGGCGACGGCGGCGACGGCGATGAAGGCGACGGAGGTGGCGATGCGACCAACGACGGCGGCGGCGCATTGCGAGACTGATAGTCGTAATCATGCCACCCTGACCTCACGCACATTCCCGTAAGCACGGTACGTGCGTCGACGTCGCAGGGGAAGATTTTTTACGTATTCGCGACGAGAAGGAGGTGGATAACGACGGCAAAAACGAAAATAACATCGGCGACGACGGCGACAGCGAGGACGGCATTTCCAACGAGAACGAGCACGAGTGCGAAGCGGGGAAAGATCGACGTCGCAACGGGAGGACCGGCCGGTCGCAGATTTACCGTACCATTTTGGTACTATCTCTGGTACCATCATCTAGCCCGTCTTTCCCGGTGGACGACGTCGACGGGAATGGGCACGCGAGAGCGGGACAGAAACGCGCACGCGGAGGATCGCTGTGGGATCGACCCGTGTTCGCGCACGTGTCAATAAAAATTTCATTCCCGAGAAAGGGAGAGAACGCTGCGGATACACGCGGTGGTAGAGAAGGTTCCCGTGATTCGGAATGATGCCGACGTGTTGTTACAGCGAGGTGTCGTTAATCAGAGAAACGTCAAACCACATAGCGTGAACGTGCGCGAACATACCGGTACGATCGAACCGCGGGCGCGTTCGATGAGATCGAGAAAGCTCTTCGCGGGTCTTATCGCTTACGTCCAATATCCGAGAGATGCAAGTCGCACGGTGACGAAAGGATAACGTACATGTGCGTGTGGAAGCCGTTGTCCTCGTGACACATATTAGAAATAGGGACGCATTTGCGTGCGCCGCTACGGTGCCGCGTGAAGATATTCGCTCGATGCCGAGGAACCGGCGCACGCGACGATAAAGCGCTTATCTTCTATCCGGGTGTATCATCGTTATCGCGACCGATAGGCGTGCGTGCCGAAATGTATGGAAATCCCAGGGGTGTACGTGCATCCGGCGAAGGTTCTGAAAAAAAGAGAGACGAGGGTGCGAGGTGACGCCGCCGGCGCTGTACGTCGCACGTGTTACTCGGACCGAACCGGATCGATCGCCCGGAAGTGTGCTCGAACCTAAGGCTTGTGCAGTCATATGCGTCTTATTCGCCGCGTGCAAATTTTCGCGAGAGCGATCTTCGCGAACGAGCGATCGTCGCCAATCGCGATATCTGCGCGAATCGACTCTGTCCGTGTAAGCCGACTGTTCCACCTTCGCATTACAACTCGCTTTTCCGTGGGAGTGTTGGTGATGAAAGTGAATTTATTGCATATATCGTGGATGTATGTGATATCATCTATGAGGACGAGTTGATTATTACTAAATTGGTGAGCAAGTGTTCGATGATATTTGAAGGAATGTATTCCGAAGGAAGGCATTGGTGCTTCGTTGAGAGAGGTTTGATTTGAATTTTTTTGCGAATTCGAATATATTGTTGTTGCCTGTTGTTGTTGTGGAACCGTCCTAAGAGGGAGTTATCAGTATATAATGATTTTTTTAGAAAGAGCGCTCGTTGCTAGTTTATTATTATTTTTTTTTTCCATCAACTGGTTTCTTCTGTATTTCTCTTCATGAAATTTCCTGAGAAATTGCGTCTAGATGAGGAAGGGTATACGTGCGAAAGGAGGAAAACGTTAAACTTTTAATTGGGGATCCGATTTCTCGCTTGCTCGACGGGAAGCTAATCAAATCTGGAACACGCTCCCGTTTCAAGCTGGTTTGCTCTATTTCGACGGGATTCTTCGATGCGGAAGTCTTGCCTCTTATATCATTATGTATATTTATGAGACAAAGATTCGGCGGAGAGGCACGATTTCTTAAATAACGTGTAGGTGGAATTAAAGAAAAAGATCGTCAAGATTTATTAAATCAAGAAAAAGTCCTTTTTCATCGTTCTATAACGCAATTAAATAATACTAGCGTTGTCGTAGTAGAAAATAATTTAGATTTCTTCGCGATTTGAGGTCTGATGTTTTCTGTAGCTTTTACTAGTTACTGTAGAGTATATACTTTTAGAACTTAAAGTGAAATAGATATATGTTTGATATTTGACGAAAGCATGAAAGAAAGTTGTAGTGCAGTCTAGTTGCAGGAATAAAAAACAGACATTTAGAGAAAGATGTGTAACTGTTTCGGCATGTTACATATTTTGTTGTAACAATAATGCTCGTGCTCTCGTATTCTCTTTATCTGTTGGCGATTCGGCCATGTCGCCATGTGCTGATACCACAATAAACAGACAAGTTGTGCCATTTGCCTCGAGATTCGAGACTATCTTCGTTGACACAGTTTTAGTTGCCTTTTCGGATGACAGATTCGCGCAAAGTACAACGATATCCAGATCACAACAGTATCGCTTTCCTCGAGATTACGTCGTAATCCTCTCTTTTAGAGAAGTAAAAGCTTTCAGAGAAGCTAGGGAGGGGGAGGGAGAGAGAGAGAGAGAGAGAGAGAGAGAGAGAGAGAGAGAGAGAGAGGAGAAGATTCTTTCTTTCCTCACCGCGCAACCAACAAGCGCAGCTCGGCTTTTCGTTATCGTCATTATTAATAGCGGACACATCGATTAATTGATTTATGTTATAAAAAAGAATGGCACGCGTCGATAAATAATGACACGTCCCCCGCCTCCTCCCGGCCGTTCGTTTGCCGTCAATAGACCGTAGCGAATCCCACGGTAACGTCAGACTTATACGGATCATCGACTCTGACTCGCCTGGCTTTTCATCGTGTGTACCCTCCTCTCCGGCCTCCCTTCGAGGCCTACCAATGGAGTCTACCTAGTTCTTATCTCACGTTCTCGCGGGGGAGTAACTGACCGATATCGCGCCGCTACATGCGCTCCATTAAAAATGCAGCCCTACAAGAGGCCTCAGTGAGTCTATAGACATACATTCGCGCGGTCGCGTGCGCCATCATACCCCTCTTTTTTTCCCTCTTTCCCCGACCGATCGAACACACCACCAACGCGTTCCGTCCCTAAATTAACACTACAGGGACATGGAACCCGGCTTTTTCGCCACCCTCGCGTTGATGGAATCACCTCGTTACCTCGTTAATTCTATCAATCCTGACACACTCGCTCGCACGATTTCACACGCTTATATTTCATGGAAAAGAGATTCTTCCGAAATTTCGATACTCCGACAAATCGTGTCTTCCCTCGCTCGCCTAAAGGAAGCGAATCAGCATCTTCCGAACGGAACACATGGTCCATCGTGAATGATCTTGAAAGTGTCATTCTTCCCTCGCACGTCGAACGGTGTGTGTCGGTGTTAAACCCGGAGACCGAAGACCGGCCGGCGATAGTCGTAGCAGCATCTCGGGCTACTCTCACCGCGACCTGCGTTCCGCGAATCCTCGCGATGATTTTCCGTGGCGGTGCGAGAACTCCAACTATTTATAAATGATCCGAACCCGGTCGCGTTGGCGAACGACTCGAGTCGACGGAGCTGCCGCCTCGTGCAGCCGCCACAGCCGCAGTCATCTCGTGTGGGGAACAATTCGCTACCCCATGATAAAAATAGAAGCTCCTAGTCAGCTAGCCGAACTCGAGGCTAGAGAGTAGAGCTTGAGGCGCGCGCGGCACCGCTCTAGCCACGCTAGAGCGAACGGACGGACGGACAGACGGACGGACGTATGTACGGACCGGCGCACCGGCGCAACCGAGCCTGTGGCCCGTACGGATGCTGACGATGATGCTGATGTCGGTGCCGTTACCGTTGCTGCCGATGTTGCGCACCGGGCTAGAACCACATCGTCCGCCGCCCGCGCCGTGAAGAAAGCGCGCCCGCGCGCGCACGCGTGCGAGATCCACGCGTGTGTGGTGTCCACGTGCGTGTACCTGTCTGTATATATGTGGATGCCTACGTGCATGTGTGTATGCGTGTGCATATACATGTGTACTGAGAGTTCGGCTCCGCTCTGCACATTTTCCTCTTCGTCTTACTTCCACCTCGCAACCCGTCTCGAGATAGACTCAGTGTCCGTCGAGGCTTCATCGTGGGTCCAGTCCCGTGGATCTTAGTCATCGACCGTTCCACCGTAGGTAGATCTCCTCGCGGGTGACTCATCAGAGAGAACCCGATCGGGTCTTCGTTACCCGAAGAAAGCGTCAGATTGGAAGAGAGCGAGCTTTCGTGCGAAGAAGTTGTTGAGAAACGAAAAGCTCGAGGGAGAGAAGAGGTGAACGAGACGAAGATAGAGAGAGCGAAAGAGAGAGAGAGAGTGAGTGAGTGAGTGAGTGAGTGAGTGAGTGAGTGAGTGAGTATGAGAGAGAGAAAGAGAGAGAGAGAGGAGAGAAAGAGAGAGAGGCACATTCCGAGCGGATCACGGATGCTTATAGAAACGTTGCGTAACGGCGTCAGGCGGACAGTAAAACCGCAACTCCGACGGACTCGTTGTCTAGTTTCAACAATTTCGAAGAGAAACCTGGTAACATCGCGCGCGGTCTCCGGATTCTCTCATATACTAAAACGATATCTTATGGTGATTAATACCATAGTGCCAGGAGTTCCGGAGTGCCATGTGAATGGTGCTGAATGCGCGTCAAGTCCCGATTCCGTCGGTCCATGATCACGGGCGGCTGCAGCGACACGTGTATGTACATGTGCGTGTATGCGAGTGAGTGAGAGGTAGATCGACCAGGATGATAGTACGGTGAGGTGGTCCGAGATGTTTCATTTTATGGTGGTGATTTTAGAGGGAGGTCGAAGAGAGAGATGAGGATAGGAGAGGAAGGCTAGGAAGTGGCTCGAAAAGGAAGTCTCGCATCCGGCATATCGATTCGCGAAATTGAAGCTTGTCAAGGCCGCGGCTCTCTCGGGCTCTCTCGAGTATTCGGCACCGGAAAAGAGAGAGAGAGAGAGAGAGAGAGAGAGAGAGAGAGTCGTGTAACGTTCTGCGTTCGAGATCGAGAGACGTAGATCCGCGCTCGTCACGTTCGCGCGCTCTCGCACGTTCGGTTCTTCGAAGTTGTACTAAAATTAAATCTGGGGCCCCGGCGCGAGACTCGCTGATTCTTTTCTCACGTCCGGCTTCTCTGACGCGGACTGCGTTGCGATGACAGGCACGCCTTGAAGATTCGAGCGCGGTCCGATGCGCGTGGGGGGGTTTAAACCCAATCTTTCACTAGAACAACAGCTCCGCCACCGTGTATCGTTCGTGTCCAGCCACGTCTCGTAACGACGTCGATGATATATGTGCGTTCGTTACGGCGGATCAACGCTTGATTCTTCGATGCTATTGTAGAGATCTGGTGGAGGCGGACGTGAGAAGGCGACGGCGAGGGCGGCGAAGAAGATTACGACGACGTCGAAGGAGAAGGTGGCGGAAAATGAAGCAACGTACAGGGCAAGGCAGATGTTACTGATGTTACTGAGCAAGCACAAATACGACCACGACGACGATAACGATCACGACGAAGACGAAGACGAGGGTAACGAGGGAGTTGAAGAGTAGTAGTAGGAGAAGAAGGCGGAAGAGGTGAACGAGAAAAACGAACGACAGTGCCTGCACGGTAACTGCAAGAGATGCAGCAACAACCGCACTCTGGCCAGCAACCGTCTGGGGCGCCGAATGGGGTGGCGGGGGGTGCCCAATTGCCACAAACAGGTGGCATAAGTCCGGCGCAACCTGGCGCGACCGGTACCGCCACCAATCGCGCTCAAGTTAACGGGGGTAGATTCGACTTTGACGACGGTGGGACCTACTGTGGCGGCTGGGAAGATGGAAAGGCCCATGGCCATGGTGTGTGCACCGGACCCAAGGGTCAGGGCGCCTATTCTGGCAGCTGGCACTTCGGCTTCGAAGTATCCGGCGTCTACACCTGGCCTAGGTGAGCGACTATACTTGTTAGTAGACTATACTTTTTTGCACGTGAAACACTTAGGTTACGGATAACTTTATGTCTTATTGGCGCTTGACATACAATATTTCATGCGCATTTGTTAACTAGGCAGGTTACACGGCACACAAAATTATGGAGGATTACGATAGATTGCTAATTCCCGTGGTATACGTAATATACCACGATGCTCGTCCGGTTGCGCGCATTTTGTAGAGCGAATTAATCTTATATTCTCTTCACGTTGGTGCACTCTCGGGATTTTCACAACGACTGCCACTCCTCCGAGCTCATGAAGGATTAACGCCGAGCTCGTTTGCACTGTGACGAGTGTATGGTTTTCAGGCTGATTATCCGATATTACATTACCGCCACTGCGCTTGTTTCACGTTAATAATGTCGCTTAGCGGGGCAAACGACTAAACATTACACGCTGCAAAAATAAGATCCGACCAGACGCTATTTGTAAGGCTTAGCAGTTGTAGAAAGTTCTCCGGTGAGATTCCCCGTGAATTCCTATTGGATGTTTCATTGATGATTTTCGCGAACCCCCGAATTGAATTCACGAGACTCCTAGCGTCGCGTGTGGCGCGTGATGTACAAACAGCGGACCTTGACACGTATCTGTATATACCTGGGAGGGAATCTCCCGATTCCTGTAAAACTGGGTCACCGTGTGCAAGGACAACCGGAACAGGTCACCGGGATTCGAGTCGTTAGGACCTAGTTCAGGGTCGTCGTAGAAAATCGCCGTCAAAATTTTCGAGACGGTCGCGAAATGATCGCGAAACGATGATGATCGATATCCGCATTCGTGCGCGTTGAAGACGAAAGTCTTTTTTCATTTTTTTTTGGAGCAATTAATTAATTTATCAACAAGTACATGGAAGTTATTCAGTAGTTTCGTTTCAATAGAGTGTACAATTCTGGTTTCAGTAAGAGAATGCAAGATATAAATGAGCGCTCAGATTCTTCGAATCCCAAAATGTAACGTCGAAAATCATTAAATGTTTCTCGCGAATGACGACGTCATCAGTGAGAAATATTTTAGGTCGTTTTTGTCCGTAAAATTGAACAAAAAATGGCAGGACCTAGTATTGTTGATCTGTCGATTGGATTCTACTTTTGGATTTCTCTGCTCGAAATTAATTGAAAAATAAAATTATTAATTATTTATATACTCCGATTTAAAATATAAACACTCTATAAAATAAGGTTAATTGCAGAGCCACCTTGTTTCTCGACGATTAGTTTTATGAGAGAATACATAACGAGAATACATAAACGAGGACAATTAGGAAAAAATTATATAGTATCTACGTGCACGCGATACGAAACCCGGAAAAACTTTAACGATCGTAATTAGAGTTTCTAGATCACACACACAATGGAAATATTATAATATTAAGTAAGAAGATATTAAATAATGGAGATGTAATAACAGTAAAATGCTGTGTAACGATTTTATTTATTTGCAAAGGGCTATTAAATTGTGCTCGAAATTAAATGTGAACGTTTTAAATATATATGCATACTTATATTATTTAATATACATATTGTACAGTATTATTAGCGATATAAATTTTAACTCGTTGCGTTACGCTGTGATTTTTTTCAAAATCATTTTCAGAAACTGAGATCTGCTTGAATGTAAATTCATTTCTCACTGATTTCTGGAATAATTAACATAAAAAAAGAGAGAAAATGAGGTAGAGACGAAACGATGACATCCTCTTTTCTTGCCGATCACGTATCTAGGCTGAGAGAATTCGCCGTTTCATTTCCGCGTAAACTGGAGCAAGGTCCATCTTTAACTAGCAACATTTTCCAACGACTTCATTCTCGATCATGATGATACTCGAAGATGAATCGTTTCGCAGATCGAGCACGTGTTGCTGACCACCTCGTTCGGAGGATAGTTCACTTCACGTATCTAGATATCACTATCATCGTTTATACTTCCGTCGTTCGCGACAAGTAAAGAACATTGCATTGTTGAGAATCGCGAGAGACCGCCTTTATCTCAATTATTTATTACACATTTAGTTGTTAATTATACTAAAACATTTTAAAAGATGAAATGTTCTTTTTATTTATTCTCAAATGTTCTAAAAATATAATGCAAACATTATTTACAATTACAAAATATGTACGAATTATTATTGCATTGTCAGAATTTATAATGTAATTAATCGTATCGCGATATAAATTTTTATCACACGACAGAGTATCGTTAAACACAAGTATTTACGCAATACGCGACACTTATAGAACATTTCCGCAACAGTTTTCGCATCCACGTGCAGCTTTCATGTTTATGTAATCATTATTTGTAAGGACTTGGATATCGCTCGGGTAGGATTAATCATTCTCTTTCAAGAGATTTACTATAGATGTTCTCGAAACTTTCTTGTCGTTTTGCAAAAACTATGACGATTAAATGGGAATAATTAAATTATATTTGATGCTGGATTTAGAAAGATTTTCTGCGATAAAAAGTAATAACAGAAATAAGTTTAGCGCAAAAGCTTTAATCGCACTTGAAAGAACGTTCGCTCGATTAGTTCTCTCCGTCTCTCTTCTTCGATAATTATAACTTTCATAAAAATATCTTAAAAGAAGGATCGTAGGCGGCGTAATCACTTTCTACATTAACACGAGGTGTCATGCCTCTCATTGCCACTCCATTCTGTACATCCAACAATGTGGATGCAACGTTGTCATCGTCATCGGCGACCGTCGGTAATTATTGGTCGGTAATTATTGGTTAATTAAACGAGTTTTCAGCTAACGTGAATGGTTAATTATAGCATAAATAGCGACGTGATCCTTGAAGCGTAACTCTTAAGGATATTTTTGCGAGCGAACAACAGCTGAGAGCTGCAGAAGACGTGATGAAATTATCTCTATAATTTTAAAATACTTTTTAAGTCCCAAGTTGAAGGAAGAGAAGTTGTTTTAGAAGATTAAATTCCGCAAATTGCATTTCAGCGGGTCAGCCTACGAAGGACAATGGCAGAACGGCAAGAGACACGGCTTGGGTATGGAGACCCGTGGCCGTTGGCTTTATCGGGGAGAATGGACTCAGGGATTCAAAGGTCGTTATGGGGTCCGGCAGTCTACTACCTCCACTGCGAGATATGAGGGCACGTGGTCCAGCGGTCTGCAGGACGGTTACGGTTCTGAAACTTACGCCGACAGTGGTAAGCTCCAAGTCTATTCGACACGTTTAATCAACCTGATAATCCTTTTTTCCATAAATCGGAATATAGGACGTTTCTGAGAGAGAGAGAGAAAGTCTTATGAATTAGATAAACAAAACTGTGAGCTCTCTTTCACCTTGAAGTTGAAAACATATTTTTTTTATTTCCATATATAACAAATATTTCTAAATATAACTGGGAAAAATGTTTTGGATTTATAATTTTTTGATTCGTTAATAGTTTTCTATTTCTAAAATAAATGGGATACGCTTTCAAAATTGAAACAATTTCCAAAAATGTACTGACTGATAAAAAAAATCTTTGCGATACGATTTGCTTGTATCGATTTGTAATAACGGTTAATACCGTGTGCGTAAGTATCAATATATTTGTATTCGGTTGTGCAATCGCAACAAAGTTCGACTTTATTGATTTCGCATTAAAATGTTAATAAATGGACGATTTCATTCACGAATGAAATATTTTATTGGACGTTAAAAACGCGTTGGAAATCCTTCATGCTCCAGAGAGCTGGCCTATGAAGCAAGATATCGTCAGTAAATAAATCACTGAGTTCTTTTAATAAAGCTTCGCGAGGCTGACTTGGGAACGCGGTAAATAAACAAAATAAGAAATGGATGTGGCGAAACGCGTCGTCGATTTCGCATTATTCTCGGCGAGATATTTAGTTGCGCCAAGATTGATGGCCGCAATTGCGGTATGTCTACAAAAATTGATGCAGTATTTAGAAAGCAGTCTTCTTCTTCTTCGTCTTTCGAATTCCTCTACTTACAAAGATGTCATTGTCGAGCGGAGTATTACAATGTGGGGTTTTATTTGTAAAACTATATTATATAAAATCGATTGCATCTAAGGAATCATTTCTACGATAAATCAATCAATTCTGGCAAGATACTGGTATTTCGTTTCTATTATTGCAAATAGAGAGAAATATAATCGCAATGGATAATACCGTTAGATCGATATCGATTGCGAAAGGAATTTTTTTCGAGAAGAATCAAGATTGATGATACTACTATACGATTGCAATTTTCATGAAAATCACTGCAACCTTCGATAGAGTCTTACTTCTTCTAATCCTTATTACTCTATTTACTCTATCTATTTACTCGCTTCTTTTTTTTTCCTGGGGAGATTTCCCTTTTGCACGATGCAGATCCTCATTCTTGAATTTCATCCGCTATTGCAAGGAACATCGCAAAATTCAATACATCTTAAATGTCATTAACCAACTCAGTCATAATTTCTCCGCTGTTGAAATCTAATTTGTCAAATTCATTTAACTTGTCGCGAAATATCGTTAGAGGCAATTTTCTGCAGTCGCTTCAGTTACGAATAAACGATACGCCATTAAACGGAGTCGCACTCCGATGTGAGGAAGTAGGACTATTGTTCAACCGATCGATCATCGCTGGTGAAACATTATAAAGTATTCATGTGTTATCTATCATAAGAGATCGCAGCGTCGCACATTCGCGTAACATAAAATATTACCGCATATTAATTAAACATGATATTGCGTTCTCAGACTTGCCGTTTTTCTCGTGAGATAAACTTAGTCTCGTTATGGTCGCGGCAGATGCTGCGTCTCAGCGTGTTGTGAAAAGATTGCGAGTAAACCAAATGGAAAATCTTATTCAGTAACTCTTTGCGCAGAGTTTCGCCATTATTCATCTTATGGCAACAAAATACTTCAAAACTCGCACTCGTAAACTTGAAGACGATTCTCGCGATTCTTTTATATTTTTGGAAAAGACAATCGAGACTTAAATAAAATAGCGAATAAATATTTAATTAATTTTAATAACAAGGAGAAGATACAGTGGACTCTTTATGGATTTTAATCTCCTTCGGTACACTGAAAAAAGAGTCTGATTATTTAGTCAGTTAGCCAAAAGTTAATTATTTCAACCAAATGTTCCGGTAATATAACTAAACATAATTTTAACTTTATAAATATTTAGTAAGTATTACCGTTGATAATAGCGTTTGATAATATTTATTAGTGATCTCTGGACCGAATTAAAGTCGGAATCGAAAACTTGTGTTTTAGAACCCTTTTTTTTAGTGAATCGAAACCGAAACCATACCCAAATTTTGTAAAATTTATAATACCGAAACCGTAACTGATAAAATTTTATTTTTTGGGTTCTTTTCGGTTCTTTTTTCTTAATTTTTGATTTTTATCCTTGTTCTTTCTTTGTTCTGCTCGTTCCTTCGTCCACACACAATCACCAATGTTCAATCCAATATTACTACCGCCAGCTCTCTTAACAATCGGAATGTAAATACCTCTAGCACTTCATATAAGAAATCTGGCAGGATTGCGAAATATATTTAATGTAAATTATTATAAGATACTAGCATTTCTTTTATTTAGATCTTCCTCATCAACATTTGCAAGAATTTATTCTAAATCATGAAATTCAAAAATACATATGTAGACTTTATGTAATAAGTGAGATCTATCCATAAGAATCAAATAAATTGTAAGAAAGAACTGAGAGAAATATGCTTAAAATAATGTTTACGTAATTTTTATTCAGTCACGTGATCAGTTGACGCCTCTCTTCGATTAGACTCTCTAGATTGAACGAGTGAATACGCTATCTCTCTCTCTCTCTCTCTCTCTCTCTCTCTCTCTTCTTTTTTTTAATAGAATAAATTTAAAGAATAAATAAAATAAAGCGTAAATAGAACAAAAAAAACCGTAATTTTTACGGTTTTGGTTTTCTTTACTGGTAAAAAAAGAACCAAAACTGAAACCGGAACATTTATTTGATATTTTCTTAAACCGAAACCGGAATCGGAATTAAAAAAAACCTTTCGATTGGGGTCTCTAATATTTACTAAATATTTGTGACAATAAAATTATGTTTAATTATATTATCTGAATATTTGGTTAAAATTATTTCACTCAATATTTGGTCAACTATAACCAGACTCTTTTTTTTGGTGTATGATAAATCTATATCGAAAATAAATTATGCCATTTGAGCATTTTGTCGAATAGGCCTTATATTTTCTTTATGTATGAAAGAACTTCGCACTAATTATATAAAAAATTGGATCTCAAATGAAATGAGTTAGTTTTCACATGTAACATAGTTTATAATATGACACAAGGCTTAATAACGTATAATTTTTAAGCTAAGTGTATTAAAAGTGCTCTGTGCATGAACACAAGTTTTATATCTTTGATATACTATAGCTTAAAAATTATTCATTATTAATATCTTTTGTTCACCACATTATAAGTTACATTATATGTGAAAATTAATTCATTTCGTTAGAATCCAATTTTCTATAATTACTGCGGGATCCTTTCATTAAAAAATACTACTTACAAAGTATAATAAATTCAACAAAACGCTGGGACACGACACAATTTATTTTCGATGTACATATTGTACATTCATTATGGTGAAAGATATCAAACTCTGTGAAAGGTCCACTGTGTCCTCTTCTTGTAAGCAAAATAAATACAAAGACTTGCACACTATAAAAAATAGCAGTGTGAACTTAACATCGTGCGGTGTCTATATAATTCTCACTGTGTTGGTGTTAAATTAACACCAGCATAGTGTGGATTTAACACCATGGATTTTTAAATCTACACATCCATGGTGTTAAATCCACACCATGTTAGTGTTGATATTGCATAAATACCAGAGATTTTTTAAATCCTCATCATGTTGGTGTTAATTAAAGAATTATATAGACACCGTATGGGTGTTAAATCCAAGTGTGATGTTAAATTGACATCAACATTTTTTACAGTTAAAGATATATATTACACGTTTCGTAGTGTAATATATCTTTTGCCTGATGAGTTTGTTCCGTAAGTAGTGCTATCGTAGCATCCCAATTGATCACCAAATCTGATTACCAAAATCTTTCCCGTAAGGCATCGGAATTCAGAAACTGGAACTGCTCTGACACGGCCACGTCACGTCGAACACTCGTGCGTATATTATGCGCGCACGAAAATAGCACGTCCAATCGCTCGACGCGAATCACTCGACTCGATATTTATCAAGCACTACAGGTTACCCAATCGGATTTAATGCTTTACAGTTTAAATGTATCTTTAATGAGTCACTATAAGTCTTTCTCGCCTCCTCCTCTGAACCACCCTCGATTTAACCCTTTTATTTGTCTCACATAAAAATATATCTCCAGATACATCTGTCTGCCAGAAAAATAAATACCCCTTACTGTTTGTTATAATTTTCTGAAGAAGGATCAGCCTAGCACCTGAAAAAGTTTGCGGCATGATCAGAAGTCTATATAAAGCTCCGAGAAACATCGGACAAAATAAAATACGATAAAACTCTTATCCGCCACTACCGGCCACGCTCACTCTTTCTCATTCTCTTTCGAATGTTCTCCATCTCTTCTCGCCTTTTGCAACGAAGATAAGTGAAGTGCTGGGCGCTATTTCGACGCGAAATCGAACCAGCACAGCGGAGTCACGGCGGAGGAATCTCCTATCATGAATGGACCGGATGTCGAAACGTTTATCGCAAACGAACGAAGTTTATGTACACCGTACTGAAATGTGCATCATGCTTGGCCGACAAACGTTCCGAAAAAGAGTAAAAATAATTGCGAACAGATTTAATTAATTAAATTAATTTACAAAATAAAATTAATTTAATTTTTTTAATACAGACATAATTAATTAAATTACTTTACAAAATAAAATTAATTTAATTTTTTTAATATAGTCTCTTTTTGAGGAAAAAGTGAACATCTTTTTATCAAATAATTTATGTTAATTTACTCCATCCTGTGGAGTAAATTAAAATGATTCAGTATTATTTCAGATTAATCTTTTAAAAGAATACCATCAAATTACGTCGATTAACCTTATGAGAGACGAAATCGTTTTTTTTATATTCAAATTCTCTAATGTAATATGACTAATTTATTGTCAAGCACATTAATTCCATTGAGTTTACTTTATTCGTTATTAT